CCAAATCAAGATGCGAAAGATGCCAGCTGTATCCATGCAGCGAGATTGTATCCTGAAAAGCAGTTGTCCTGGAAAAGAGCCTATGTTAAGGAGCAGAAGGGTGTGTGGTTTGTTACTGTTGAGGCTAGAACTGGAATATGACACACAGTTTTGATTTTTTGGGGGGGGGGGCTACGGGGACAACACACCAAAAACCCTGCAGTGAAGAGATTTGATAATCACTCACACTCGGGGTGAGTATGTTTATTTCATCCAAAACAGATAAAAATAATTAAGCTGATAATTCCTGAGTATATAACTTTGGTAGGAGGAGAACACAGGTATTCTTTATATAGCTTTTACAGCTAGTTTGGGAAGACTTCTGAAGAATTGATAATTGGAAGCTAAAGCTATAAATGAGAAATAAAGCACACTTTAAAAAATGAGGATAACATGCTGAGAATGGGCTCCACAGCTCTCAAGAAAGTTGAGAGGCAACTGTGGAAGATATGTTTTAATTATTTGGAGCTGCTGGACTAATACATCTTCTGCAAGATTCACAGGGTAGGATGGTGTGGACAGGAGTAATCTTTGGCAATGGAGACTCGCTGTTCTCCACTGATTTTGTATCACAGCTGGCACACAAACAAGCCACCTCAGAAGTGATAGATGTCTGCTGGTTTGGAACCATCTGCCTGTGATGTGGTTACCATCTGAAGTGATTAGGTCTGGTCTTGGTGGGGAGGCAGCTGTGAAACTGAATGGCCTGTCATGGGTGGAAGACTGGAACAGATTACAGTTCCTTATGGCTTTATATTTTACAGGTTTTGGAAACTGGTAAGACCTCTATTTTGAAGAATATTTTTTTCTGGTAGTTGATAATTTATAGCAAATGCAACATTTTGGTTGACACTCTTAATTCAATCTGTCCGGAAATTCTGAAAACTAAAAATCTGACTTCTCTCCTTTTTGTCAGTCAAAATGGATGTGGGAAGGGGCAGAAAGATTACCAAATCTCACGTAGCTACTAGTGATGTAACTGTTGTTTTTTTCCCTTCAGTCTGTTTACCAATTGTCTTTGTTCTCCCAATGAATAAACATGCAGGTCGGACTAAATGATTGCATGGTACGTAAGTGCATCAGTGCAGCTGCTGAGAAGGCATTAAAGATAGGGAAAGGCCAGCTATAAAATGTTGACGCTTAATGCCTGAAGGTAGAAGCTGCAGAAATCTGCATATGTTAGAAAACATTTAGAAGCTGTCAAAGATTTGGTCTCTCTTCCATTTTATCTGTATAGCTATGTTGGGTAGTTATACTTATGTGGGCAGAAATCTTGTTGTAGATGAGGTTATGCTGGTAGGTATTAGTCATGTTACAGTGACAAAAGAACTTCTTTGCTGGGAGAGCCATGCCACCCAGTGGAAATGCAGCAGAGCCTGTTGCGTCTAGAAAGCATTTTTCTGTGTTTGAAAGATAATCTTGGAGACAGGAACTAAATTGGGCACATCAAGTGTTCGAAAAATGTCATACAACTCAAAAAAAAAAAAAACCAACAAACGCAAACCAAAAAAAACCCCAGGCAGTTGATGCTTAGTTTTGGATAGCATTTAGTAAAAGAGAGAAAAACTGTTTTGGACAGCTCCTTCTAATGAGGGTCCCTGAGGACTGATGATGGATAAAAGCCAGGAAAGGCAAGAGCATGGGAAAAAATGCTGCTGCATCCATCAGTTTCAGTTGGGCTGGATGTGATCAGAGAGGGTTTAGAGCTTAAAAAACACTGTGGAAGCTGTTTAGTAGGACAGATTTAGTATGCCACATGTAGCATCACGCTTCCAGAAATGGGGTTTTCACAGACCTCTCTGAAAATCGCCAGCTGGTCTTGAACGCTGTTGGTAGACCTAGCCTGCCAGTGCCATGTCAGAGGAGTGCTTCCTAACCTTTCTCCAGCCTGCGGCACAGAGCCCAGCAGGCTTGCTTGTCTCGTCTACCTGCTGTTCATTTTTGGGAGCAGCTCGTGGGTGTCCAGGAGGGCTTGGACTGTGGTCTGAAGATTTGGCTGTGTATGGTTTCTGGGTAGGTGCAGTGGAAGTCCTTCATGCCGTCTCATTGCTTTTCAGGGTAAAGGATGAGAGAGATTCTGCTCCTAGATGCCTTTTTTGCAGATGTCAGTCTCTCCCTCGCATCTGGCCAAATGTGTTCTCAGAGGTGGCTGAGAAATGGTGCCCTGACCAGCCGATCTGGAGCTGGCAGGCTCTGCGCTTCTGGAAAGCAGGGGATGTTTCCAGGGGCGGCGGCCTTCAGAAAACAAAGGAAATCTTATCTTACAGCACACTGGATGCGAGCAGGCCTTCAGTTTGAATGCTGCCAGTTCTGTAGTCTTTTTACTCCCAGCCAAATTACTTAAACTCCTGAATGCTCTTTCCACTCACTCTTTCTCCCCCCCCAAGTCCAGGAAAGAGTAGTTGGAAGTAGAGTTTAAATGTGGCAAATGGACAGCTATTACATGAATCGGCTTTTCTCTGCTCATGTCAGTGCTTGCGCAGTGCTCTTCTAGGAAAGCTTCAAGAGAAAATGAGAGTCCATTTGTTAACTCTGTTGACTCTAGAAATCTAGTCAAGGCACCATGCAGTACATTCTTCTAAAATCTTGAGCCCACGCGTGACCAGTGGGGACTTTAAAATGGAGTTACATGGAGGTCTTCTGTCTGACAGTGTCTCTGAGTCCAATTTGTGAGCATGTGAATACCTTGGGCAATACAAATATAATTGATATTTCTGTAAGGTTTTGATTGAAGTGCTTTATACTAGTGTTGAATGACTTGAATGGAATATGGATTCTAGGTTTAAGTACAAATTAGTTCATATGTTCTCTGAATGCATCTAATGGTAATTTCAGTTTCTTTTTTCTTAAATGAAGGTGGCAGTACCCAGATTAAATGTATGTTTAAAAAATGTCCCTGAAGTAGGCCATCCTGTCTGTGAGAGGATCCTTGACATGCTTGGCATTGACTCAGTTATGCTAAATGTTGCCAACAAATGTTGCTCTTGTCTGCTTGCCAAAGTAAAAAAGCCACTAAATCTCATTATAAGCTATGCTTAACTACACTTTTTTTCATAAGTCATGCAGTAGAATTGTTTCCTTAATTTTCATGTCACAGAAGTATTTTTGAAATTACCTACTGACAAATATTGGGGGTATTTGTTGATATTTTGTAAGCAGGCCTGTTTCAACTGTATTCATCCACTGCTTTGACTTGAATTTACTACTCTCTGTCACTTTTGTGACAGATCATGGGATTTTCTTCTGAGTTCTCCTTCAGGTTTGTTTCCTTTCTTCCTTCTCTCCCTTGCGGCATATGTTTGAACTTCTTCTGTGAGCTTTTTTTCAGTCTCTTGTAGATCTGTTTTTCAGTTGGTCTTATTCCATCTCTCCATCTGCCTAAAGAAAGGATGATTCTCTTGGCCTGTTTTGCTGTTGCTTTTTGTTAACCTGGTTTTGTTTGGGTTTTTTTCTTATGAATACATCTACATGTGCACTTACGTAAAAAGTTATTTTTGTACTTGTCTGTATATTAATGATTTATTTCCTATATTTTATGGGTTATATTAAATAGCTTCTATGTCTATATAGGTAAATTGAACTACAATGCCAGTAAAAAGCACATATCAACCTCTGATTATTATTGAGCATGGTACATTGCAAAAACTAATGAACTCTTTTAACATCAGAGGTATTTATTGAAGAGAAATTGAGCTTTTTCTGGTAGATGTCTCTTGAACAGCTCAGCTGTTAAAAATGGGAGCAGAAACCACTTTCCTGATGTAATTCAGTTGGTTTCTCAACTTTAAACAAATAGTCATCTATCTGAACAGTCTACCTCATCTGATACAGATATTTGTACTTACTTGAAGGAACTACTGCTGTGTATTGGGTTTGTGTGGCAAGGTTTTGGTAGCAGGGGTGGCTACAGGGGTGGCTTCTGCGGCAAGCTGCTAGAAGCTTCCCCTATGTCCAGCAGAGCCAATGCCAGCTGGCTCTAAGGTGGACCTGCCAAGGCCAAGCCCATCAGTGACAGTGGTAGCACCTCTAAGATAACAGATTTGAGAAAGGGGAAAAGTTGCTGTGCAACAGCAACTGCAGCCAGAGAGAGGAGTGAGAATATGTGAGAGCAACAATCCTTGGTGCAGACCTCCAGGTCAGTGCAGAAGGAGGGGAGGAGATGCTCCAGGTGCCAGAGTAGGGATTCCCCTGCAGCCCGTGGGGAAGACCATGGTGAGGAGGCAGGCTGTTCCTTGCAGCCCAGGGAGGTCCACGGGGGAGCAGATCTCCACCTGCAGCCCGGGGAGGACCCCACGCTGGAGCAGGGGGATGCCCAAAGGAGGCTGTGACCCCGTGGGAAGCCTGCGCTGGAGCAGGCTCCTGGCAGGACCTGTGGCCCCATGGAGAGAGGAGCCCACGCTGGAGCAGGTTTTCTGTCAGGACTTGTGACCCCGTGGGACACCCACGCTGGAGCAGTCTGTGCCTGAAGGACTGCAGCCTGTGGAAGGGACCCACGCTGGAGCAGTTCGTGAAGAACTGCAGCCTGTGGGAAGGACCCACATTGGAGAAGTTCGTGGAGGACTGTCTCCCATGGGAGGGACCCCACGCTGGACCAGGGGAAGAGTGTGAGGAGTCCTGCCCCTGAAAAGGACGAAGCGGCAGAGACAATGTGCAATGAACTGACCGTAACCCCCATTCCCTGTCCCCCTGTGCCGCGGGGCGGGTAGGTAGAGAATCTGGGAGTGAAGCTGTGCCCAGGAAGAAGGGAGGGGTGGAGGGAAGGTATTTGGTTTTATTTCTCATTACCCTACTCTGGTTGATTGGTAATAAATTAAGTTAATTTTCCCGAAGTTGAGTCTGTTTTGCCTGTGATGGTAATTGCTTGAGTGATCTCTCCCTGTCCTTATCTCGATTCATGCGCCTTTTGTTATATTTTCTCTCACCTGTTCAGGTGGGGGGGGGGGGGGGATAGAACAGCTTTGGTGGGCACCTGGTGTTCAGCCAGGGATAACCCACCACATGCTGTTATAAGCTAATGCTGGAGCTTTAACAAACCTTTGGATTCATGCAATTAGGCACTGACTTCCACCAGGGTGCTAACTTTGTAGGTAGGTATTTCTTAAAAGGTTTATTTAAATTATGAGGTATTTCTTGCAAGGTTTATTTAAATTATTAGGTGTAACCTGAGAAGTTCACTGTGTTTCCACAGGGGTCTGGGTTGCTCGGAGTGGTCATAAATAACTTGGGAAATGAGATGAGCAGTGTCTTGTTGATATGAAGCCATTCAGGAAAGAAAGGATTAGGTAATAAAATGGCAGATATAATTCAATGTTGATAAATCTGATGTAATTCAGAGTAGATAAATGTAGACTGGTGCACATAATTTCATATATAAAATGATGGGCTGACCCTTAACACTGAGGAATGAAATATTGCCACAATAGTGTCAGTTCCGTAGTGATCAAAAAGCAGATGAAACATTAGGAAGTATTAGGAAGGAAATAGAAGACAAACCAGAACATAATTATGAAACTGTATAAATCAATGGTTATCTCACATCTTGAATTCTGTGTGGTTCTTTCTTGTCATTCATCTCAAAAGATACAAAAGAATTGGAAAAGCCTCAAAGAGAAGCAGAGAGCGTAATCAAAGGTATGGAATAGCTGCTGCACAAGGGTCAATGAAATAAGCTAGAGCTCGCAGCCTGGAGAAGGAACAGCTAAAAGAAAATGGTAAAAATCTGTAGAATAATGATCAGCATGGGTAGGGTGGATAAGAATAGACTTGCTGTTTTCCTCAGCTGCAAGAATGAAGGAGCAACAACTGAAACTAGTAAGATCCAGGTTTAGAACAAAAAAGAAGGGGCCTTTTTGTTTAACAAATAGCAGCCCTGTGGAGTTCCTTGCCAATGGATGTTGTAGGTACAAGCAGGGAAACCAGATGTGTTTGTGGAAAAGAAGTTATATGAGGGCTGTTATTCCACAGAAATTGCCTACAACTTAGGAAGTCTCTGAGCTTGGTATCACTGAAGTATTGGGGTGACTGTCATCCCTGTTCTTATTCTTCCCTGCTGGTCATTGTTGAAGATAAAATGGGATGCTGAGCTGAATGGCCCCTTGTTCTGATCCAGTACTGTCCTAAGATTAGGAATAGATAGTAATAAACTCACAATACAGTTTCAGAGATTACTCTAGTTTATATGAACGTTATGTAGTTTATAATCTAATGGACCATATAAAGCTATTTGTTACAGGCTCTCTGTGCAGACCTCCATCCCTGAGACCAGTCTCTGTGTTAAAAGTCAGGTCTTCACCATCAACAAGGAAAACCAAGGATTGTTTTTCATGAGGGTCAACTTGGCAGTAGTATTTGTGCTCTTCACTTATATTTTGCATTTTTCCTCCTCTTATGTTCCTCTCTATCTCCTACAGTCTCCCCTAAAACCTTCTGGCTGTCCTGGGGCACATCTACCTATTTCACCAGCTTTTGGTCATCTTTTTAACAGTTATTCACCTCTACTCTGTATTTGTTGTCAGTTAGTCAAACTGAGTGTAACTCAGCTGCCCTTTTGCATGGCTAATAAAGATTGACAAAGCCAGTCGGTGTTCATTGTGGTGAAGCTCTGGAAAGCTTTAAGTGCAGTAGTTGCCTTCATGAAAAGATAGCACATGACTCATTGGTCCCTGTTTTCAGTGCTTCTTGTAAGTGTTGAGAGGTTAGAAGTTAGGTATGCATTAATGACACCTTTGCCATGTCTACATTCAGTTAAGGCTAGCTAGCTAGAGTCAGTGAACATAAATAAGATCATCCACTACCTTTAATGTGTTTTGAAATAATTGGGGGATAAAGCATCAGCAAACTGCAGTTCCTGTATTTCTGACAGTAAGATTTGCGTGGGGATTTAATCTTGTTTTGGTTTAGATGCATTAACTTTACCTGCAAGCAGCCTGCCATACCTTTTCTGAGTCCTGGTTTAGAAAAGACCTTGAATACTTTACAGGCGTTGCTGTCTTGGTAGGCTGCGTCCTTGGTATGAATACTTGAAATATTTTTTTCTTAGTATAATGTGACACATTTAACCTTATGTGTCAGTCCTGTCTGAGATGAGACAGGTAGAGGCTGAAGACTTTCCTTTTTGTGAGAACTTTCTCAAGAGGAAAGTATTTGGGTAGCGCGTATCTTTGTGGGCCAGAGTCATTAAAACAAAGCCAATGCTAAGAGCTGCTGCCAGTTCAACACTTGCTGTGGTTTGAATGAGACAAATGTAGAGTTTGTCTCATGAACTCTTGCTTGAAATACTTTTATTATTTTCAACAAATTTCACTTTATCTTACCTTACTTTTCAGCAAAATGTCTGGAACTGATGATTTTTCGGTAAGTAACAGTTTTTCTTTCCTGAAGATCAGCCAGTTGTGTTACTTCATTCTAAAAGTTGACATACTTTTTCAAGAAGAAGGGGAGCTTACAGTTGAGAGGCGATTTCCTCTGTATTGCAGTTGTGGTGTTTTCCTTTTGGGTAGATGTAGCAATCTGTGGACTAAACATGAAGCTGCTAGGTGCCTTGTGGGTTCTCTTCTGCTGTGATATTAACAAGGGAGTTGTGCTTTAATAGTGTCAGAATAGCTGTAATGGAAACCTATGAAAATCTTTTCTTTTCGGATTTGCGCTGAAATTGCTTATTGCTATGTGTGGTAGGTCACCTTTTATCTTTGGTTTTCTAACTGCAGCATGTCAGAATGCCTCTTCTCCCTTAACGATAGAAGCTGCACAAAAATGAACGTAATGCTCTCTGTGCAGCAACAAAGAGCTCTTCTCCTCCTGTTTTGGCAACTGAAACGTATACACATAGTGGGTGAATGTCTGCAACCAGTAAGTCCTGTAGGCATTTTATGTTCTCACTGATGCTTTATCTTTTAGTTGGCAGATGCTTTACCAGATCAGTCGCCTGCTAAAACCTCCAAAGTGAGCAGTACAAAACCTGGTCAACAGCCTGGTCAGCCACCGCAGGGTTGGCCAACTTCGAATCCTTGGAACAACCCAAGTGCTCCCCCTACGGCGCCAGCCGGACTGCCACCAAATACGTCCGCTTCCAGCGTGCCATTCGGACCTCCACCAACAGGAATGTATCCTTCAATGCCCCCTGGACCGCCTGCTCCATTTCCTCCTCCTCCTACTGGACCCTCTTGCCCTCCTCCTGGTGGTCCATATCCACCCCCAACTGTGCCAGGTCCTGTCCCACCAGGGCAATATCCTCCACCAAATATGCCCTTTCCAGAGCTTCCAAGACCTTATGGTGGTCCAACAGAGCCAGCTGCACCTCCTGCTCCCGTTGGGCCATGGGGATCCATGCCCTCTGGAGCATGGGGACCAACAATGGGAGGGCAGTATCCTGCACCTAGCATGCCATATCCACCCCCAGGGCCATATTCCGCTCCTACCCAGACTCCAGGGGCTGCACCAACAGTACCATGGGGTACGGTCCCACCTGGAACATGGGGACCTTCACCGCCAGGTCCATTTCCTCCACCCACAGGATCATATCCAGCTCCAGGACTATATCCTACGCCCCCTAATCCTTTTCAAGTGCCATCTGGTCCTGCTGGTGCTCCATCAATGCCTGGTGGTCCCCATGTGAGTATTTAATTTTGGTCTTGAATTACTCTAAAATGTTACACTTTTAAGCATGGAAATTGTGTTGCATAAGACCTGTTAGTGCAGGTAAGGAATTTCAGCACATCTGTCTTATTTCTGTAGTCAGCGGAATAATAGCCAACTTCTTAAACACTTAACTAAATATGCTAGGACAGTGAAATTATATCAAGTTGGAGTGCATCTAAGCATCACATTACAGTGGTCTTCCACTACTTGGAAAGCCTTCTCTAAAAGGCAAAAAAGGGGGGAAAGCCTTCTAATAATTGCTAAAAGAGAAAATATTCTAGTCTCTGTAATCTAGAGAGATTGCTTCTAGGGTACAGAGGGAGGGAATAACAAATTGTAAGGATGAATTTGTTTTTAATTAAGAATTTTTGTAACTGTGAATTAACTGCTTTGTGAAAAGCCTGTATTGACCATGAATTATTGTCTCTTGCAGCCTTACCGTTGAATACGTTCTGGGCAACAAAATACTGTAGCTTTCCACCTTCATCCACTACTTACAGAGATTTTTACGGTTTTTGTTTCAGTAATGTTTGGGGCTATGAAGAATACTTGCCTCTTGTACGTGCATTTGAGGTATGAAGGAGCAGTTTGCATAAATTTACCTTGCTCGTATGCTGGCATAATTGTTTGATTTAATGAATTTGGAAGAGCAGAAATAAAACTAACATCTGTGGTTCTTATGTTGGCAAGTATTCCTTGGAAAAATGGGAGTTGCCAAGTAAGGATTATAAAGAATCAGGCCCAAGGACTTAAAAAAAAAAAAAAAAGTTAATTCTTAAATTTCCATGAATGCTTTAAGTCTTGTTGCCAGACTTGTGCTGGTCACTGAATGGATGGATGGTCATATTTTGTCGCTTTTCAGGTTATTCTAAAATGTCAATAAAAAGTGTTTCAAGATTTTTGTCAAGAAATCAAATTTTTGAACATGCTACAGTAATTCAAACTAAAGAAACAGAGCATGTGAACTTGAAGGTTTTCTCAGCATTTTGTATATACTCAAAACAATTGCTCAGTCTGGGACTACGGAAGAGAAGATGCGCATTCGAAATACTTGGTCTGACTTGTCAGCACACTGTTCGTGTTCACAAACAGGCATTTATGTGCAAATTAAATAACCTGGATGTGCAGTTAACTTTGAATCAACAAATGTGAGTTTTATGCATGCAAATGAGGACATCATTTTGCCAGTTCTCATTCTGTGGTGGTTGGAAGTTTGGCTTGGTCTATGTAAAGAGAAACTGATTCCCACTTAGGTAAGGTACTTCCCTATTTCTAACCTGGGTTCTAGTCATTTAAAATTTGACCTTGCTGCTGGGTTGTGTAAACTTGGCAGACTTTTTCAGAGTCCCTGAAACTGAACTTGAGCTTAAAAGATAAAAAAACCCAACCTGACAATTCCCTTCCCAGCAGTTCTTGGCTTGGCGTTTAGTTCTGTCAGCTACAAAGATCCTTATTGCCACAGTTGAGAACGAGGAGGTCTCATCGGGCCTCTGCCAAATATTGTAATGGGGAGAAGTCCTCTGTTCTCAGCTCGGTGTCTGCATACCTCACTGAGTAAGTGTAATTTGGGAGTAATTGAATGTCTAGAAGCCTGTGCACTGCTGCGTAGCTGTCCCCCCTCTGAAGGGGCACTGCAGTAAGTTTTCATATTCCTGCCATATCTGTGCAAAGAGCATGCAAGGGGTTTGCTGCAATGCTAGTTTAGCATTACCAAGACACACAGCCATGTGTCAGTGAGGAGTTCTGGCACTCTTCGTGGTACTTCATAGCCTAGACTTTGACCATGGACAGTTTGTTTCATCCCCAGCTGGGGATATCCTAACTTAGCCTCTGTAGGTAGAATTAGGAACAAATTTTGCTTAACATGGTAGCTCATTAGGGAGTCTTTGTATCATGGAACTGTGAAAGCAAGTTAATTCTCTTCCAGTACCTTGTCGTGGCTTCCTGCATGCATGTGATGGACTACTTAAAAAAAACAAATGGGGTGACCTGGTGGTGATGCTTGTTAGTAGTCTTAGCCTTTATGGCAAAATCCTGCAATGTTTTTGCAGAAGAAAGCAGTCAGCTTGGCTGTGGCTGTTTTAATCTAATGTCATGAAAGCTAATAGCAAAGGTATGTGTCTTTTTTGTTTTAGGAAGACAATACTGGAGCTGAACAAAAAATACTTAACATTTCAGCTTAAAACCTAGCATCTGTAACCCTAGAATAGGAACCAAAAGTACAAGTCTTCACTAACCTTAAACAAGCCCCAGTTGTCCCCCAAACCAACTTGGCTTAGATCTTGGCAAGACTCATCAAAAACGTAAGAGAACACTGACTACATTTGCTCAAGTGCTTTTTTGATACCTGCAGCCTTAGATTATAAATCAATGTAATGAAAAAACATTTATTCCAAATGAATGGATCATGCAGTAGCAGCACTCCAGTTTGAAATTGCACTGGCCATATGTCTTTGCAGGGAATGGGAATAGGTAGGAAAGGATGAAGCAAACGTAGTGAGTAATGATTTTTGGAAAGGGGATTTGTAAAAGTAACTAGACTTCTAGGTTCTTCCTGAAATAGGCAGGATTTATTACTGGAACATTTAGGCTAAAATTCAGTATATATGGGATGTTTTTCAATGTATATTCGTATTTCTTGAGGTCATGAAAACTGTTTCATAACCCCTTTGTTTTTGTGAGCAAAGTTCTTTGCATAGCAGTGAAAAGGGTATACCTGTTAATCTATTGTGTAAAAACTCAAGTTGTCACTATATACCGTGTAGTAACTTTATCACATGTTATGTCAAGTGTGAGCAACTTCTGGCCTGAAGCTTTTGCAATGGAATTTGTACATTTCTATGCATCATTTGAGTTAAATTGCTGAGAAGTTCGTTTTGACTTGTGCTTTGAGATTGACATACTGCATTTGTTTACAATATGAAATATAAGCAATCACATCTTTAAAGTATAGATTATCACCTGCTGCTGTATTTTCTTTAGATGAAACAAATATTGCTGTATGATAGTGAGAAGCTATAAATACAGGATTTGATATTTTTTTGAAAATGCTGTCACTTTTGTATAAGATTAGACATTAAACGTATTTTCAAGACTGTTGTGTTTACTGTTTTTCAATTACTGCTTTTGACATGCTTGTGTAGACTTTTGCCTTGAATGAATAGTAAAAATAGGACATCCTTGATTTGCAAAGACTGAATATAAAATCAGAATTACTTGACTTCTGTGAGTGTTTTTCCTCTTCCTTTTGTGATTTTTGCAGTCTGTGCATAAGGCATATTAAATGTGGATGTGACTATTGCTCTATTGTAGCATGTCAGCCTCAGGTATCGCTTGTTCATAAACTGCCTTGTTAATCGAGAGAAAAAAAAAAAAAAGACCTGATCTTGTTCTAGAGGAGGAATGGGACTTATTTTTTACCTGTGAAGAGAGTGTGGTGTGGATTTTTTCCTGGCTCTGAACAGTTCCTGTGCTAGATTGACATATGTGGATGTGGTAAGTGGCCTGCAAACCAATGTTTTTTATATGCTTCTCAGGAGTTTGGTAGGATAGGGTGGATAGTAATGTTTGAGAAACTCCAGGGCTTGGCAGTGGTGTGAACTACAAAGTCTGGGCATCACTCATCACTGTGTTCACGTTCTTCATATATGGTGGCCCACAGAATGGTTCACGCTGAGCTGGTGTCCTGGTTTCATGCTGCTCCCTTTGTCCACACCTTCACCCTTTCAGGAAGGTAAAAATGGCAGCAGTGAGCAGTAAAGAATGGAAATAAAAATATTTATCCACTTTAAGGCTTAGAAAACAAGCTCTTCTTAGACTGTGCACCAAATGTAATCCTTACATCTGTTAACAGAACAACACACTGTGTGGCCAATGCTTCATCTTAAGAGTGTTTAGCTGTGGGATTGTCTGCTGCTCTGGATTCCTCAAATGAATTGTCTCTTGCAACTCTCTTGCACTGGTAGAGATGAAGACATGGGCATGGTGATCCAATTATGTTAATTGCTTACTGCCCTGCAGGCCCCCCAAAAATTAAAGTTTTGGGGAGCATCTGACAAGTGATACTTATCTACATAATTCTTAGGGGAGCAGTTAGTTTCGAAAAAACTGTTCCAGGGGTCTTGCAAAGTGGTGAGTTTGTGCATAGTTAGATCCACAACATAGGATGCATTAGTTCTGGTCTGGGATTGTGAAGGCAGACGCTGGAACTCTCTCCAGGTGTTGATCCACTGACCAGCCTGTTGGAAACTGCCTCTGCACTGTCCAAAGGGTGGGACGTTGATAGGAAGGTTGTCCTTAACCTCTGTGTAGTAAGAGCCCTTAGGCACCTAAGTAAGGACAAAACTTTTCATATGTATTTTTCTTAATAGAAAAATTTGTGAAGTTAAGAGCAAAATTCCAATTACTAGAATGCAGTTCTATACACTTCAAGGAGCCGTTACTCACTGGGCACATAATAGATTAGTATGTTAAGTGTCATCTGGCAAATCAAGAAATACAAGTTTCAACTTATACTACAAGCTTCTAATCAACTAGTAGACACTGCATGATTGACTGTCACTGCATTGCACAGTGTAGTGTGCTTACCCCCGCGACATCTGGAGAAAGATCTCGAGTGGACTTGGATCCGGCCAGGCTCTGTGGCTGGATATTGGGATTTGTGACGTTGGGAGTCGTGAGCTCTGCGCTCGCTGTCTGGGCTGCGCCCGGGAGTCACCAATACCCGGGTGTGTGGGCGGCTGGTGCGCGGGCAGGGCTTGCAGGACCGAAGGTCGTGGTCTGAAGAGGGATAAGGGCTATATAGACGTGACGTTTGCATACGTCACTTCGTATTGGCCCGGCTTGCCCAAATACATTTTCAAGGTAGTCATAGTGGGAGGATCAACTATAACTTTTCCTCTGCTCTCACAATTCAGCGGAATTTGAGTTAACTTGATCTAAAAATGTGTGTGCATGCACACACCCATTAAGCTGATAATGGCAAGATAAAAGGTGGGGTTTTTTTGGTCACTCTTGCCTGCAGAATTTCTCGGGTATGTGGGAAATCCAACGTTAAAAGCTGTGTGCACCAAGGCAGTATGCTGTTGAAAGCAGGTACTTCTGTTCAAGTTGACCCGTTTGATGGCAATGAAGACAGAAGAGTGGGGACTTTGTATCCCCTGTGCAGCAGATCATAAAGCAGGGTAAAGTTAAGTTACAAGTTACACCTAGATAAGTAAAAAGGGATAGTCAGTGTAAGAGTACAAGCACTTCAGTTCTGTAGTATCACTTTCCGAAGGGTACCCTCCCTGTTAAATGAGAGAGGGAGAGATAAAATAGCAATATTTCTGTTTCTGTCGTCTTTCCAACTTTCTCATGGCAGGGAAGGGCTGTGCTGAGAAGTCGCTTGGCACGCCTTTGGGTTTAATTTCAGGTCCTGGTTCTGTTGTCTGCACAAGATCTTACCTGCTCTTGCAGATTTGTATTCTTGTGATTAGGGGAGGGAATTCTTGTAGCAATTAACCCTTAAACTCTTGCAACAAGCTGCGCCATCAATCACTGAATTTATTTCGCTTGGCAGTAATGATGGCTTAATATACATCTCCCTATCTCTTCCCCCTCCGCCACCCCCCAGTTATCTTTAACCCAGCTAACTTCTGGGATGCAGCCCTGCGTACATCCCACGAAGTGTTCTGCTGAATGAGGCAGAGTAAAAAGCCGGCGCTGCTGCAGAGAGCGGTGGAAATGGGACCGTGGCCTTGGTGAGGAGACACGCTTGTCTTAGGCTGTTTGTCCACGGGAGGAAGCTCAGCCAGAAGAGGAGCTGGAGCATGTGTCTACCGTAAGCATTTCAGTTCATGCTCTGCAGAGAAACTTGTTTCTCTGAGCTCTGGAGGGATCCTGGGGAGGGTGGGATACTTAAATTATTAAAGGTTCGACCCTGGAGGGGAGGTTGGGTAGAAGTTGGATACCCTGCTGTGCTTTATCCTGTTCCTAGCTGTTTCCGAGTGATGTTTAGGCTGGAGCTGGCATCCTCAGTGTGAAATGGGGGGATTTATTTGTAGTTTAGGTTTAAAGAGGAAAACTTCCTGCTGGCACCAGCTTGTATTGCTGCAAAACTGGATGATGGCGTGAGTTTAAGTAAGAGAGTCAGACCAGCAGCAAGGAGAAACTTTTACCATGCGGACAGCGGTTAGGCATTGGAGAGGGTTGCCCAAAGAGGTTGTGCAGTCTCCGTCCTTGGAGGTTTTGAAGGCTGGCCTGGGTTAAGCCCTGAGCAGCCCGGGCTGACCTCGGAGCTCGCCCGGCTCCGAGTGGGGATTAGGAACCTCCCGATGTCCATTCCCACCAGAATCACCCCGTGACTCTTAAGAAATTCACACTGTTCCATGTCGGATTAAAAGCAAACGTGGAATTTATCCGTTCCTGAACCAAACTCAGACAGTGACAAATGACTGCAGATTTTATTTGTGACTTCTTGGGCTTACTCTGGCTAATTAACGCAGTGGTGTTCTGGGGTAGATCTATGGCTTCTGGTGGGGAGCCAGTGTGTGCTAACAAGGGGTGATCTGTCAGGATACTCCATTTTCCTAAGTTGTTAAAGGATAATGAAAAGTAAAACTGTATTATGGTGCCTTTTCACAAGAATGTACTTAATTTGCATGACATGAAAAGCTTTATATAGTGCTTTGTACGATAGAAATTGTTCAAAGGGGGTTTGAATCCTCTGCTTTCGAATTTGCCTGTATTCCCTTCAGGTATAGGGCAACACCCTCCAGCACAGTGAAGGTGGCAGAATATCCTATTTTTAAGTTTGCTTAGAAGTGGGAAGAATTAATGCTTTAATACCCTGGAGCTTGTTCTCACGGCCTGTTGGGCTGTGTAAAGCTGGAGTTCGTTGGCGCTCCTCAAGGAGACACCGTTGGAGTTGATTATCTTGAAAGCTTTTTAATACAGCCACTTCGAAGTCTTAGCAGCTTCCACTTCACGCTTTCATGTTTGCGTTTCAACCTTGAGGCTCTCCCTGTTTTCCCGCTGGGAAAGCCGAGTGGGAGCAACACCGCGTCACCTGGGACACGGGGATGAAGGCACCAGTAGGTCTGAGCTGCCGCTGCCATCCTCTTCGTCTGGATGCTCCCCTCTTGGTCTGTACTGGCTGTCAGAGTAAGTGGTCGCTAAAAAGAGAGCGACCCTGAGCCAAAACCGCTCTGAGTGGTTCGGAGCAAAATCAGATGCTGGAAAAATGAGCTCATGATTTTTTTTTTTTTTTTTTTTTTTTTCTTCCTGGCTCCTTGAGTCGGTTCAC